ATATCTGCTCTTAACTCACCATACAACTCAGAATACGTGCCTTTGTGATGTTTGATAGGAGACTCATGTTTAAAGTTGTTGTTTGTTTTCTCTGCAGCATCACAGGAATGATTCTTCTGGACCTTGGCAGTCTGTGTAACTGCCTGTCTTTCTGAGACATCTTTCCAAACGCCCAATACAGAATTTTTTATATATAACTCATCAGCTGTCATTTCAGCCAGCTCCATTGCAAGCATCCTCTAAATGTAGAAATAATCATTGAGGTGTGTGTGTGTGTGTGTGTGTGTGTGTGTGTGTGTGAGAGAGAGAGAGAGAGAGAGAGAGAGAGAGAGAGATAGAGAGAGATTTTATATTAATAGCAAAGAGACAGAAACTTGCATTTATATAGATAACATATTTGTGTTGGCTTTTCTATCTTATGTGATTCATTGATGTACCAATTTCAACCTTTTTAACTAGTTGCTGCCTCTTTTAAATTTATCTTCCTCAAAAGGGATTAGGTGATCTTCCTATGGAGTCCCTTAGTTTCATTTGTAGGGGACATTGGACAAGTAACTGTACCCCTTTTGATTCTGATTTTACTATCATTAAAATGGTGACTGCTTGAGAATTAGAAAACTGGCCGTCATTCATAGACACCTGGGAACTGAGGCCAATGCTTGTGGCTCTAGGCCTGGGAGACCCTGATGAATGTAGTCATCTCCTTAAAGGGAAGAACATGAGAGTGTGAGTAAATCTCTCCTGAGTGAAACCTAAGTCCTGAATATACATGAGCATTGCCCCAGAAGGAATTGAACTTTTGTGATGAGGGAAAACCCTATCTTGTAGGGGCAGAGTCGCCAGCCTTATACTCCTAGTCAGAAACTCCTGTGTTTGGAGGGACATAGCTCCTCTTTGGTTTCCATTAACTTTCTGTCTTCTGGATAAATAAAATGGGACTGGATTATAGTGTGTGTGTTCATTGGTTCAGATTCAATAAACCATACACCAACTCCCAGAACACTGCACTTGCTAAATGTATTAGATGTTCTCTGTCCTTGCATCTCCTTTTTTTTTTTTTTTTTTTTTTTTTTTTTTTTTTTTTTTGTTATCCCTCACTGGGGATATTTTTTCCATTGATTATTATAGAGAGTAGAAGGGAGGGTGGAAAAAAGAGAATCACTGATGTGAGGAAGACTCATCAATTAGTTGCCTTTTACACGCATCTTGACTGGGGCTGAGGATCAAGCATGTAACCCAGGTACGTGCCCTTGACTGGGAATCAAACCTCCCATGTATTAATAATTACAGTGCATGGGGTGGACACTGTAACCACTGAGCACACTGGCCAGGGCACCACATCTCTTTCTGTAAAAGATAACCTAGGGTAAGTACCATGACTACTCATCTTATTATCTCCCTCTCTTAGTGGAGTTCTTGATATAGCATGAGGCCTCAAAAGCTTAACTGTGTGGAAAAATATAATGCAGTTGTCTGTATAGGACTTCATGCTTTAAAATGCATAACATTTCTTATGTGGGTTTTACAGCCACTGGCTTTTCAACTATGAATGTGAGCAATACTGCTATGCTCTTGCGCTGAAGTGAGGATTTTTGCCTCTGAAATCTAAGAGTATTTTCTCAATTAGCTAAAAAATACCAATGCACAGCATGTTTTCTTTTTCCATTTTTGAGGTGTCTTCCCACACCATCTTTTTTCCCCCCTAAAAACTTTGATTTCTATAATAAGGCTATACCTGGTTAAGCAAAAAAATCTGTTCTATTTTAATTTGCGTATTAATCCATGAAAATTACCTTGACTTTCAGGTTCAGCTTTTTGAGCAGATAACACTGTTTGCAACAAGAGCGGATACCATTCCTCCTTTTTTGTTGGGGAAGGGGGATTTCCTGCGTGAAAATTAGATACAAGGCTGTATGGTGCCTGCCTTCTTTTATCTCCGCCTTCACCTCCACCTCCCATGAAATCTGTGGTGTGTGGTTATTACCAGGTTTTAAGTGAGGAGATTGTGTCACTGAGCAGCTCATTGTCAAAGAGCCACAGGTGAAGCTCAGTCTATTTGACCCCCAAACCCGTGGTCCCTCCACTGAACCAACACGTGATAGTGCTGGCTCCTAATCTTACTGATAGGTTATAAGCTCCTTCATTGCAGGGGTTAAGTAATTTCCTCCTCCTCCCCCAGGAGGTCTCATAAAACCAGATTAGTGGTTTTCCTCTTAATTAAGGTAGTCTTGCTTGTGAGGTGTGCCATTTTCTGTATTACACATGTCCAAGGACTGGCCCAAATCATCGTCAGCACTTCAAATTATGTGCCTCTGTTGTTCTATACTTTCTTTGTCTTTAAGTCAGGAATTTGTTCTGGTCCGACAACCACCTTCAGACGGGGCTTGGTCCATTTAAAAAGTAAGTTTTAAAGGGCCCAAGGAAGGGTTGTATAAAACTCTGAGATAGCAGCTTGTATTAAAGATGCTCATTGTTAATTCTAATATGAAATGATTTGTATGTGTTATTAACACGTTAAGGCAGCCAACAAAAGATGAGAAGGCAACTCAACAGGAGACATTAATGTGTGGAATGCAGAAAAAGTGGAGGAAAAAACAAACTTATTCCTAATGAGTTGCATGCTTAAGAAAGACCTAGTCATCTCACGGTTTGTTTATGTCCTTAATGGTTGGGACCTTGGCACAGAGCTTGGCTGTCTTCTTAGGGGAGATGCACTATAATACTACTGTGTACTGATGAATACAGAGGTCCAACTATGTGTTGTTATAAAATTGTCTCCAATGATGACACTTTGTTATTAAAACAGTCAAGATTGACAGATAGTGAGGAGTCTTGGTTGGGTCCTTAAAACTGAAGGAAAGCTATCTGGCATGGCTTTTTTAAGAAAAGTATACTTATCACCCAAGAAAAATAACAGGTCTTTTTCATAGGCACACACACATATGCACACATATAATATACATATTCATATATATGTATGTGAACCAGCTGAAAACACAATATAACTAAAATTATCATTCCCTCAAACTTTTGTTTCTTTGCCTCTAAAATAATTTCTTAAAAAAAAAAAAAAAAATATATATATATATATATATATATATATATATATATATTGATTTTTTTACAGAGAGGAAGGGAGAGAGATAGAGAGTTAGAAACATCGATTAGAGAGAAACATCCATCAGCTGCCTCCTGCACACCCCACACTAGGGATGTGCCTGCAGCCAAGGTACATGCTCTTGACTGGAATCGAACCTGGGACCCTTCAGCCCACAGGCTGGTGCTATATCCACTGAGCCAAAATGGTCAGGGCAAAACAATTTCTTTTTTGACCTCAGTATATCATGGTGGTTTTACCTGCATTTTATTTATTGTTATATTTTATTTATTTGTTTTTCTTCAATTTAACATGCAGTGTACCGATCTGTTTCAAATGCTTAAAAACAAGCATTTGCCTCCTTCTCTTCTTTGTTTTAAAGATAGCGGGTTACTTCTGAGGATATCATCACATTTAGACTGACTTGCTCACTTCAAGTTCATGGTAATCAAGGGCTTTGCCTGAGAAGCAGTTAGTCTTCAGTTTAGCTGAAGGAGGGAACATAGAGTGGTGCAGGACTGGGGCTCTGAGGACTTCAGATTTGGTGGTACTTTGAATTGCTTCTACTTTTATTGTTTGTAACTGTTTCATTTGAGCGCACAGGTGCTATTACTATAATACTTGCTTAAGAAAAATTTTAGATGGAGATAGAGAAGTTGAGGAATAATGTAGTCAACTGTACTAATTAGAAATAAATATTCGAATGTGAACTTGGAATTGATAATACATTTTAGTGTGGTGTTTCATCCTAAGTAGCATGATAATTTCTTACCATAAAATAACTTATTTTATTAAAAAGCAACTTTTATCTAAACAAGGATGAAAGTATTGGCAAGTCTAGATTTCATACACAGAATGTTGGGACACATAGAAAAATCTGATTTATAAATAGTTCCAAATAGATTTACTTATTATTACTGTGCTATAAAAATGAAGTATGGAAAATTTTATTTTAAACTGCAATAGCTTGAAAAAGTTGGGGAATTAGTTTCACAATATTGATTAACAGGGAATTGCATTTCTACTGTTTTCTGCTTTTCCCCCCAAAAGTACACAAATAAAAAGTTAATTTTTATATGAGAGCAATTTTAAACCACAAATGGATTTTTTTTTTTTTAGCGTTTCCTCTATAGTGGCCAATTTTATATGAAACAAATTATTTTAGGCCTAATTGCAAGCAGAATAGTTAGGCCGCTAGCTCTGCTAAGGTTGAATTTCATTTGAACTTTCTAATAGTATGATCTCTCTTTTCAGAATTTAATAACTGACTCAAATATTTAATAGTGGGAGCTTTCATTAAATTAAAAAGAAATCAGGATATATTTTTAGAAGAAGTAACTTATTTTCCTTATCAGTTTCATCTACTTTAGGAGAAAGGAAAGGAATGGAAGCTATCTCTTTGTGTACTTAAATAGACTTTAATGCTGTAACCCCAGCAAATAATTTATTTCTATATATGTCATCATTCAGAAGATTTGGGAAGCCCGAATGGCAGCAATATCTATACTTCTAGCTCTACTGAATAGCAAATTGCATCAACTGTGTGAACCCCTCTACCGGGCTGCTGGATAATCATTCTTTTCAATCCCCAACTAGATTTTCTAGGTTAGTTTTACATTGCACACTGTCCATGTTGCTTTGCCTACCAGCTCTAGCTTAAGTACAATGACTTGTTTTGAAATGCAAGTGGGGAAAGATGAGGGCTGAAAGATTTCGTTCCCATGTGTCAGTCTAGGAATAAATGACAAAAGATCATTAAATGGGTTAATTTACAAGCATTCTTGAGAAACAATGTTTTTACATGAAAGCATGTTGTAAACCTTTTTAATTAAATTGCATTGTACCATGCACTCTCATCCCCCCAGGGTTCTCTTGACCTCTCACCTCTTACTTTGTCCCACAGGCACTCCACTGCTGGTGAGGAGAAGCAGTGACCCAGCGCCAGGCCCACCTGCTGATGCCCAGCCAACTGCTTCACACCCCAGTGGCCAGAGTCTGAAACCTGCTATTCCAGTAAGTATCCTGCCTCTTGCATTTCTGAGGAAAGATCAAAGTGCCTTACCCATAGATTTGCAGTCTTAAGTACGTGGACAATTTGAGGTCTTTTGATAAGGTATATAGTATTAGTTATAATAATAGCTAGTATGAGCTATCACTATTGTATAGTTATAATGATAGCATTTGTTTATAAAGCACTAATTATGTGCCCAGGAGTGTGTTAAGTGCTTTACATTAAGTGCTATGAGCCAGGGTATTAAAGGGAGAACACGTTTTTTGTCTTCATTTTACTGATGCGAAAGTTGGAGGCAGAAGAAGGTTTAGTGAGTTGTCTAAGGTCTCAGCTAGCAAGTGGCAGAGCTAAGACTTAACCCAGGTGGTTTGGCTCCTAAGTCCCTGCTCTAGACCAGTGCACTATGCTGCTGACTGCCTTCCTCCTCCTGCTTCATAACGCCCAAGAATGCAACTGGTATAGTCAGCATGCCATGGAAATGCTTCTGAAACTGGAAGATGGTAAGTGGTGTTACAGTTTCAAGACAAAGCATATTATGGCTATATGGTGCCAGTACTGGGTTTCTGGAACTCAACAGTGAAATCAAAGAAAAATAAAATGCCATGCCAAAAGTGCTTCTAACCAGATATACTTGTATGCTGTACCTATAAGATGATAGATTAAATGAAGAATAGTTTCCTAAAGAAATAAAGTCCTTCTTCCACTTGGGACTGTGGGGTCTTTCTGCTAAATCCTGAGTGGCTTTGAAGAGTTGTGATTGTGTTTATCCTTTGCAATGATAGATCTCAGTTAAAGGAGACATGTCTTTGCAATAAGTGGTCTTCAGATTTGATGGTACCATATTAAAAGTACTCCGAGAAACGAGGCTCTGGCCCATTTTAAGTCTCACTGTCTATAACACCTTAAGAAAAAAGGCAATAATTGCAGGGATATAAGGATGCTGAATGAGCTAAATGGATTCTCCCAGTTTTGTATAAAATTTTATTAAGAACCTGTATCACTGTGTTTGAAGGAGGAGTCAGTATATCAAATCATTGGCAGTTACTAATAGGTTAATGGCAATATTTTAGCATATTTTTTGCTCTGTGAACAAGGAAGAAAATATCCTGGAAGCATTTTAGATGTAATATTTTTTACTCTCCATCTTTTTAAGGAAATATATTTAATGAAAATTACTTTAATAAAAAGTAGGTGTATGTGTTCTACTGCAATGATTAGTATAAATGGAACCAGTATGTGGCATGATGTGTGTTTGTGTGTGCTTGTATGTATGCATTTAACACACATGAACTGGGACTGTGGTAAGCCTAAGTATATTGGATTGGAGGGGGGAAAGAACTATATAAATGAGATAATAATTACATCAAATAGAAAAACTATAATTTACGGCTTATTTGTGCAATGTCAGTATACTTTAAAATGAGAGCGTATCTGACTGTGTTACCATCATTTACATGCGGAATGTCACCAATCTGTTCCATGTACCTATGTATCCTTACCAAAATATGATACCAATGAGGTCTAAGTGGAGTAGTTGGAGTGAGAGATACAGTGTTACTAACAGAGATGCAAGTCCTTATCCAAGAGGCAATGTTGACACCCCAGATGCTCTTACCTAACAATATGCAGGTTATCAAACATGAGCCAGGGCCACATGTGCCAGAGTGAGAGGAATAGGCCCATTTCCTCCTGTGCTCACAGGGCTCCTGTGGATGGTGAAGTGTAAACTTGAGACCCAGAGAACAGAGTCTGGTCCTTGCCTGGCCACAGAGCTTCCGTGGAGAAGTACTCTCCATTCGAAGTTGAAGCATTCGCAGGCTAAGGTGCAGGCATTGTTCCTTTCTGATCTCTTTCTTTCTAGTTCAGAGTACATGGGGGTTGCTCAGTGTGTATGTGTTGTATTTAGGAATGCAAGACAAACATTAATCTGGGAAAAGTCTTAGAAGTTCTTAGCAATTACCTGGCTTTTCTAATTCAACCATTCTTTCTGCTCTCCAAGGGAATGAACTGGGCTAAGGTTTACCTGCTCCAGTGTCTGGTTCAGACAGTTTAACTGCCCTAGTGTGAGGGAAGGCAAAGTCAGTACCTGAAGGCATCTAGGTGCATCTATTTTTACCTAGAAGAAAAATATGTGTGTGCCTGGGTATATTTTTTTAAATATATTTGTAATAATTTCAGAGAAGGAGAGAGAGAGAGAGAGAGAGAGAGGGAGGAACATCAGTGATGAGAGAGAAACATTGATTGGTTTCTTTCTGAATGCCCCACACTGGGGATCAAGCCAGAAACGCAGGCATGTGCCTTGACCTGGAATTGAACTGTGACTTGGAATTGATAGGTGAACACTCAACTACTGAGCCACACCAGCAGGGCTGTATGTGTGTATTATAATTCTATTTTATTCCTGCCTATCCAAACACATAGATTTCTTAAAACTGTATCATCCAATAGCATAGTCACTGATACGTGGGGCTATTGAGCACCAAACATATGGTGTTAAGTGTAACATGCATCCTGGATTTCAAGGATTGCAATATGAAAACTAAGGTGAAATATGTCATTAAAATTTTCATATTGGCTACATGTTGAAATGATATTATGCTTGGATATATTGGGTTGAATAAAATGTTACTAAAATTATTTTCACCTGCCTTTGTTTTTTAAAAAACAAAAAAAACATTTCTACCAGGAATTTTAAAATTATATGTGTGGATCACATCCCATTTATATTGGACCAAGCAGAATTGGATATCGCATTAATGAAATGGCGAGAGACCCTGGGGAGGAGTTATTTGAGTTACACATCAACTCTGGTGGTGGCAGTATGATTAGGTTTGCCTGGGGCAGTCCTAGTCCATGCCTGTTGTTCTGGCTTAATTATTAACAGTGTCCCCACTAACTCTCCGAGGTGTTCATGTATAGATGATAAATTATGTGGCACCCTACACTGTAGCCTATAGTCACTTTCATTGTTTGCTCAGTGATAAAAGGAGTGGTCTTTCAAGGAAGCCCTGGGAACAAAAATACAGCTCTCCCCTCGGGGTACACTTCAGAGAGGGCTCTTTGTAGCGAGAGCCTGAGCCCAGAGCGATGTGGAGCCTCTCAGATTCCATAATTCTACTTGCTTCCTTCACAACTTCAGCCACACCATACTTGATTCCTGTGATTTGATAAGTGATGATGAATGCGGGGAGTGTGCGATAATGTACTCATGCAGCAACTAATATGAAAACTAATTGCTTAAAAAGCTCTCTTCAATTGTACTGCATCTCAATATCCAAAGGAAAAAAACAATCAAAATTTCCATCTCTTAAACAGAATGTTCACATGTAAGCAATTCACAGATGGCAGAGCCCCAAGTGGGTTATGTTCAATCATCCCCAAGAAATGAAACTTACTCATAACCCAGAGCATGAGAAGCTGTAAGGATGAGTGGTTGACACATTTGATTATATTGAATTATTGCCTTTTAAACCACAGTTGATGACTGTTATTTTTAGTTGCACTTCATTATTCTTACTATAGAGGGAAGAGTTTTCACTGATGCCCAGAGAAGTGTTTTTGACAAGTTGGAAAAGTTGCACTTGTTTTCTAGCCAGTTAAATAATTACAGATTGCTTATCTAAAAGGTATGTCCTCACAAAAGTTGGAGCTTTAAAAAGGATTTAAATTAGAAATACCAGATTCTCTGCAAGCTTCAAGTTCTTTGGATAATGAAAAGCCACCAAACCTCATTGTTTCTTAGAGTCCCGGCCGGTACACAGCATGCAATTTTGTTCCCTTTCTTCCTCTTTTCATAGACCTCTTTTCATATCCAGTTAATCAGAGTAGCCAGAGTAGCATAATTATTAATGTCCAATTAGTAATGACTGTGTTTCTTTCAAGGCTATAGAAAAATCTAATTCCACTGGCTGTTTTTGAATTAAAGAGAGAGAATCCTGGGAGCAAGCTATTGCAGCGAGAATCCGCTTCTGGGACGCCTTACCTTTCTTGCCTTGATTGCAAACTGGTGTTCTTGGCTGAAGGGCATGCCATAAAAAAAGGTTCTTGAAATTGATGTTCCTGAATTTGCGGATGGAAGAGAACTCTAAAACAGATGTGATTTTTTTTTCTTAATATCCGGTTAACTGCGATGGTTGTTTTGTGTTTTAATGACTGTTTATAGTTTCACATTTAACCCCTAAAGCAAAAAGTTCCTGCAGGGTGAGTAAATTAAAAAGTGGATTCCTGAACACTACAAGGCTGTGCCTGTTCTCAGATAGTAAACACCTCTGTTTGCTCTAAAACCGTTACTTGTACCGCATCACCAAAATCAGTTAGGAAAATCCTGGTGTATCTTCTAAAAGTTCATATCTATAATAAATACAGTTTGTTTTTCAAAAAAAATAACATGGCAGCCTTTGAGGCTGCTAAAGTAGAATTCGTGAATGGGTTTCACAGGGTCAGACGTTTATACCATAGACTGAGGGAAGAGGGGGGAGAAGTATATTTAACAAAAAGAAACTCTCACTGCTATCAAATTTTAAAAGGAAAACAAGAGATCAAGAACTTGTTTCGGAGTTAGTTTGGGATGAAATCATATGGGAAAGACACCATTTCTCAAAGTATGAGGAATTTAGAGATTGAGACGTAAGGTAGAAATTGCCACCTCTCCCAAATATCTATTAAATAATTAAGGTTATTTCATCTTTTCTACCCAACCCATAGTATGTAAATTCAAGATGTTAAGGTGAATAGATGTTTTTGAATTGCTGCATGGAGAGGTCAGAAAGAACTCTCCAGTCAGTAGCAACATCATGCCAAGCAGCAATGAGATGGGATGAAGGGCACAGCCTGGTGGTGGAAGGCAGTGGGAGGCGAGTTTCCAATGACTCTACTTGTGCCAAGGGGGTGAGAAGTGAATGTACAATGTTGTTTCTTTGGAATTCTGGGTATTTTATCAGCGAAGAAAGTGCCAGGTGCTTCTAGTGGGAGAAAATATTTCCAGTGAATAGAAGCATTATCT